TATTCATGGAAAATCTAGTGGCAAGGGAAAAAATACTCCTCACAACTGGTTTAGCCCTGCGGCTTTTTTCATCAGCCGTTGTCTCTGCCTGGCTTTTGGTGAACTACTTGCTTTCGGAGAAGTGTTAGTTCATTTAAATGTGTTTATACTGAAGCGAAGGGTTTTGGCGGCTTTATTCATGGAATGGCTGTGGCTAAGTGCTTCTTCTGTTTAACTCATTTCATCCATTTGAACCAGAAATGAGTCTTTCGTATGAAATGAACCTTGCTTATGATAATGATGAATCTGGTAAGATTTAGAGAAGTTTAAATCGCTCTCAGAACTTTCAGTGATCAAACTAACTGGCCAATTAGTCGATAATGTGAATATCAATTGATAACCTGGTTCTGCGGTAAAGTGACTAAAATTTGCTGTAGCAATCTAACCCATTTCCTTCCTCCATTTGAGGAAAAAGTCGTCATTTTTGTCATTGTGCACATATAAAGATGTGTTAATTCATGCATTGTTACTTTACAGTAATAAATGTGGGTTTCAGTAAATAAGGGATTTAGTTAATTCATATTTATCAGCCTCTGAGTATCAAAGATTCAAAATAGAATGTACCTGTTTTAGGCCATTTATTTATTATTCATGTATGCTAATACTTTCCTTCCCCTCTATTTGACAATAAGAGTACGTAACAGGGGATTAACATCTTTCATAGTTTCTGTTTAATGTCAAAAACCTTTAGCTGCAAGCCTAATCTTCGCTGTTACTAGATGCACTTATTCGGGAAGTACTGCCCTTCCTGTATAAACAGTTGTAGGACGTGCATTATGAGGTAGCTTAAATTGCTCATGAATTTTGCGCCTGAATTGATTATTGCATGGCAGACATATTCTATTGGCAACAGCCATGTTAGCAGGTCAGCCATAAATCGAAGACGATTAATACGGATGGCATTACGAATCACGACCTTTCATCATCATGATAATATAATTACATTGCGCAATATACCAAATGGAAAATGAAACCAATATTATTGGAAAAATTCTTGTTCATACTGTACAAAAATTAATGCTGAAACGAAGACATTAACAAAACTTTCCTACCGATAGCATTCTCTTCCTTATTCTGCAGCTCTCCACAAACGGGAAACGACCAGAATGTGAGAGTGCATGCATAGGCGAAGTGCGGTGAAACATTCTCTATATGCAATCTGCTTAGCGTGAAAACTGAACCTGAACACTGAAACGATTGGATCACATGGCAGTGATGACCAGCGGTTGGAAAATCTTATGCCTTAGAAATCTATCAAGGAGAAGGACCATTTTATACCAACTCAAAAGAAGCACTAGAGCCAAAGGCAATCGTAATCCGCGGAAGAAAGTATGACAAAAATCTTTTCGTAACGTTGTCCCCTCTTTGTACGAGTGATGGCTAAGGAACAATCTCAAGGAAGTTGTGAACAACACTCAATGCATGTACTCAACAATAGAAAAAATGACGCCATTTACGAAACTGGGATCGCTTATGAGCAAGGAAATGTGGCAACAAATATAACTAAATTATGCAGTGCGTCGTAAACTTACAATGTCAACTGCTCCTGTCCATACCTTCAGCCAGTCAAGAAATGAGTAATACGTCGAAGAATTCTTAACAGGTTGAACATTTCGTAAGGTTTGTCAGAGGATAAGACCTTTGCAGTAATGCAACTGCGTAGGTGACTTCGATCCGTCTAACAGTTAGGCTTTTGTCAGTATAAAAGATAGATAGGAAAAATTGGGGCCATGAGCAAACTTACCTCTTAAAGAAACTCATTCTATTTTTTCATGATTAAAGTTTGCTACCTGTTTAAACGCCAAAGTTAAACATTGGGCATCTGCTAGTTTTAATGACACTTTTAAACTATCTTCCCCCTTCTAAAGAAATTAAAGGCAACATAAACCTTTGAAGTGGGTCTAGCCCTTCTAATTTCTGAAAAAGATTTGTTGCGCTCGACTTCCTCCAAGAACCAAAGAGTAGGCCTGTTGAATAAATTTCTTAGTGAGGTACTTGAATTATCCAGCGTGCATGCATAGCACTGAGTGAAATCAACAGGCAGAGGGTTTGCTGCACTCATTCCCGATTTCAAGGAGAAGGAATTTTACTGTAGGAATCTGTGTTCAACGTAAAGTCACCTATTTAAATGGTTGTACTTCTCTGTATATGATGATCAACTAGTAGTTTTTGTGACCAGAGCCTCACATGTTTAGCGGCAATATCAGAAATCGAACATGTGGTCTCGAAAGGTCAATTTTCCTACAGAGTATTGCTATCCGGGAACGGAAGTGATGAATGAATTGAGTTTTGCTGTTTGTTCATGTTTGACCGCTGCTGAAAATGTTTCTTATTTATAATTTACCTAGTATAAT